CCAACATGAAGCATGAAAGTCATCTTGGGCCTTTTGGGTCAAAACATCTTTGTGCAAACTCAAACCCTAATTTGGGTCAACAGTGCAAGGAAGAGTCTTGAGCAGAACAAACCCTGACTTGATCTTGAGCTCCAAGGGTCTTGTGGTGAGAAAATATTGATGAAATGGGAGGGCAAATTTTGGGGTACAACAGTTGCCCATGTTCAATCTTCTTGAACCTGGAGAGTTAGATTGGCAAGTTTGCCTTTCGCGACTCGAGGGTAAAAGGAGATTGGACACTAGAGTGCCTGGAAATTTGCACTCGCATAGTGGAGTATTAGCAATGTGATGTCGGGAATGGGCTTATAGATGCCATTTGGAGATAGGATGGATAGGAGGATGGGCTTATAGATGCCATCTGGAGACGTGACAGAACCTTGTCGGGAATGGGCTTATAGATGCCATTTGGAAGTGTTGATCGCGTAAGAGATTCCTTAGCGAGAACTTGCGTACTTTGAGAAAGAAAGATGGTTTCCTGGCTTGCTACAGGTGTTGATCTTAAGTCTCTTCATGCAGATATGCCCTGGCTGGGTACAGGTATCAAATCTACAATTAGTTACTCACAGATGTGCCCTGGCTAGATACAGGAATCAAATCCGGAACTTCAAAAGGTTACTTACAGACATGCCCTAGATGGATACAGGTATCGAATCTCTAAACTTTTCATGCATATGTGCCCTGGCTAGATACAGGTGTCAAATCCACAATCAAATACTCACAGATATGCCCTGGCTGGATACAGGAATTGAATCTAGAATTGGTCGTCTACAGATATGCCCTGGCTAGATACAGGTATCGAATCTGGAAATAGTCGTCTACAGATATGCCCTGGCTAGATACAGGTATCGAATATGGAAATAGTCGTCTACAGATATGCCCTGGCTGGATACAGGTATCGAATCTGGAATTTGTTGTCTACAGATATGCCCTGGCTGGATACAGGTATCGAATCTGGAAATTATCGTCTACAGATGTGCCCTGGCTGGATACAAGTATCGAATCTGGAATTTGCAAAAGGTTGGTAGAGATAGCTTTCCTGGCTGGATACAGGTGTAAACCTCTGACCTGAGAATGAAAGATAATTTCCTGGCTTGTTACAGGGGTTGATCTTCAAACTCTTCATGCAGATATGCCCTGGCTAGATACAGGTATCGAATCTACAATCAATCACTCACAGATATGCCCTGGCTAGATACAGGAATCGAATCTGGAATTGTAAAAGTTGATAGTAATCATATTTGGATTGACCTTTTCCTGAAAAGGCAAAACATTAGTTGTATGCAATGTCATGATGTATGAAATGCATGATGTCATGATGCTCAAAATGAGATAGTGTTGTATGCACTTTATCATGTATGTAAGCAGGATGTATGAAATGTGAAATGTCTATGAATGTATTTTTTGTCTAGGAAAATAAATCCTTGACGAGTGCCGGGAGTTTGTGGAATCCTGAGCTGATGTTGAAGAGTAGAGTTCTTCGCTTTCGTTGGGGATGATGGTTGCAAGAATAAAATGGTAGGAGAAGATGACTCCGTTGAGGAATAAACTTGTTGGAGAGATTACTTTGTGGGGAATTACTCTGTGGGAAGAGATACTTCGCTGAGGTTTTGATGAGAGCTCCGCTTGGGATTCCATTGATAAGTTATGTAGGGGAATTTGATGAACTCCGCTGTGGATAGGAAGAATTTCGTCGAGGACAATCTTTCCGTGGAAATTAGCTGAGGATAACCCAGTTATACCCTGGTGGGAAATAACCTTTGAATGAAGTCGGGGAGATGCGTTCGTACTCTACAGGTGATAAGCTTCCAAAATCTACTGGGGAGGGTGATTCAACTTTCCTGGGGAAACTTTTCAGATTATACTGGGGAATGGTTCCACTGGATGTCGGTATTCCGCCGGGGAACAATCTTATATTAAGACTGTCGGGGATGCTTGTTTAGGAATGTCTATACTCCGCTGGGGAATGTTGAGATCTTCTGGGGATAACCAACTTCCTTAAGGCTGACAGTAAACTAACTCTGCTTGGGGAGAGTATTGCTGAAATCTGGTCTTACTCTATGGGGAGTCGAGGTAACTTGGGTACATTCTTCAGCCGAATCTACCTTAGTACCTTGGTGGACAGAGCGACTGGACTGTTTGGACAATTCTTTAATGCCCCTGTTTCTGATGTCATCTGTAATTAGTCTTTTGTTTCGCATGCAAATATTTATGATTAGCGATTAATGTCAAATGCATATATCAAAAATGAACATTGGACGTTCTTTGCAAAACAAAATAGATAAAGGAAAAACACTTGGCAATTTGTCTGGAAAATGAAACTTGTATTGATTTTGAAGTTTTCCTGTAAATAGGCGATGTACAGGAGGCTGACGTCCTAGTAAGAGAACACCGCCGAGCAAAATAGAGTTTATACAATTTTGGGAAAAGGAAACAAAACAGCTATGTGAAAAATAATCCCACTGGGTTCCAACTCTGTTATCGCCTTTATGTCTTCAAGCGTCTCATCACTCTGCTGCTTAGTTGAAGATGAAGCTGGTTGATTGGAGTCATCTGAGCCCGAAAGTTGATGCCGAATTCTGGATGCAAGGTGATCCAATGAGACATAGTATTACGCTTTATCCCTAACTTTTGCCTGGACCGCCCTTTCGGGTTTTCAGTCCACCAGGATACCCATTTTTTCCCAAGCCGCCCTTTCGGGTTTTCGACTTGTCGGGTGTACAGATTTTTTTCATTTCATCCCTTATTTTTGCCCGAACCCTTTTGGTTCGCCGGGAAGCCCTTATTTTTGCCTAGGTGTGTCATCCTAGCGGGTCTTTAATTCATTCGTAGTATCTTTTTACTATGTCTGTATTGGTGTTTACCGTGGGAATTGGTAAACAACCGCTGATCTTCCAAAAGGTTACTTATTTGGTGACTCGCAGGATCGATCAGATTGATCCTAAGACATGGTTGATTTTAGGGTTTTGACTAAGTTTAATGATGATTGAATGACAGGAAAATAAAGAAGCTTTATGTAAATTGCATGAAGAAGAAAACTTGATAGAATAAAGGAAGGCTTGAAATGAAGGCTTCGACTGGAAAAGTAAATGAAAAGCAATAAAGTTCTGGAAAATAAATGACTTTGATTAATTAAAGTGGTGTTTCACACATACATTCTCAACAATTGGCCAGAATCTCTTCCTGGACTGCATTTGAGCTTGCTTTAGTTGTCACAGTTGTGATCGAGTGCACGGTAATGTGAGGCGGCCGAAGTAGAGAAGAAATACGACAAAATCGCCACCTGTTTGAGGAGTGGGGGTTGGTGGTTCGTTGAATTTGTGTTGGCGACAACGGCAACATGAAGATACAATGGTTGATTTCTCGGTGGATCTCACAGTAACGTTTGGTTTGAATTATGTGGAAAGAAATGTGATTGATTATGGGTAGTTTAAATTGTTTGGGAAGAATCAGGTATAAAGATTGCAAATTTCTCTCTCCAACTCTCAATATGACTTTTCACTGCTCAATTCTTTGAGGAGAGTGAAAGGTCCATTGAGGCAAAAGAGAAATTATAGACAAATTAGCAAAGAGAAGAAGATTGAAAATAGATGTGTCTTTCCCATTTCTTCTGTACGTGAAATACATTTCCAACATGATACAATAGCAACATTTAATGTCAAACCTCTATTATTCAAATTTGGTGTAATTAATCGATAATACCCTTGAGATTAAGTTAATTTAAACATGATTTCAGATAGGTTTAGTGGTGATTTCTAATGACTATTCTTTTAATAGATAAATATTATATTTTATATCTAAATCTAGTGATATGGTGTGATGATATGGCATGTCGTGCCATACTTTGGTGCCTTATGAGTCTTAATTTCCATGCCATTTGTGTCGTGTCTACATCTAATGTCTAAGTGACATCTATTCATGGGCGAGAAATAAAATAAATAAAATAAAATTATAGAGATCAATAATAAATATTTTTTTATAAATTATCTTAAAAACTTTAACTATTGCACATCCGTGTTTTTCATCATCTTAAAATAATTTTGTTTTGTTTATTTTATCTCTTTTTCTACTCATTTATCTATATAAATGAGATATTTACTTGTTTTTTTATCTTAATTATCAACACTCTTAGAAAACAAAATCATAATAAAATTCACAGGAACATGTTTTTTCATGGTTTACAATAGTAAAATGTCGACCATACAACTTGTCACCTAGAAATACAACTTGCCACCTAGAAATACAACTTAAACATATTTTTAAATTTTAATGCAGTATTAAAGTCTATTTAAAATTTGTTTGACCAACTATTATAAGATTACTTTTGTAGGGGCACGCAGGTTTTGTTTTGTATGTCTAGTCTTAAGTGTGGATAATCGTCTTAATTCTTAAGAGTCCCATATTAGATATGAGATATTTCTTGGCAGTGTATAGTTCTCCTCTCAGAAGTCAGTTCTGTAATAATCATCACAAATTACTGGAGACTGAATCAAAATGCTACACTCAAACATAGTTCCTTCACTACATACAGAAAAGCCAAATAAAAAAGAGGAATGGGAGAGGTAAAATACCCTCCACATATGGTAAAACATATGAAGGTTTACTATACTCTAATGTCATGTTTCAATTTATCAATTTCCCCAATCCTCATTTGAAAATAAGACATACATGATCATTAACAGAATCATACAACAATATCATCCACCAGCAAACATGTTTAACAAACAGCTAAATAACCATTTCATCCCATACCACCCAATTCCATCCCATACCACCCAATTCCATACCACTCCATCAATCCAAACAAAGCCTAAGGAACATGAATATATAAAATTATAGTATGCTAGCTAAAGCCAACAAAAGCATGCATCCCATAGTTATAATATGTAGTCAAAAACATCAATGACAAAAAGAAAAACTCTACACAGCAGACTTTAGAAAGGCTTACTTGCTCCGAAGTATTTTTACATCCAGCCAACAAATTCTTTAGGTGGTTCAATCCATATGCTCTCAAAAGCATCTGGTTCTATCCAATCATGACACAGCTTATTGGGATAATATCTATGGTCATCAAGAGAGAACGATATGCAACGCTTTCCATAGAAACGGACTTTAGAGAAGTAGACGCTGTTTCTCATTATTTCAGTGACGTAAGTCTTAGAATGAGATGACAAAAAACTAGCAAAAACTGTCACGCCGTCTAGAGTTCTCACCTCTTTCCATTCCATTAGTGTCTGATCTAACTTGAAAATAATTGGGCCCTCAGGACAAAATACATGAATTACGAATATATTTCCTTCATGCTCTGTCATAAATTTCCCTTTCCGCCCTCGTCTGGCAACAAAACTCTTTAGACTTCTGGGAGGAGATACTTCTAGAACAGTCCAAGTACATTCAACAGGGTCAAACACCCCTAGAAAACCTTTACGACTCAGACAATAAAATAACCCATTAGAGAAGACAACCTTAGTGATTATGCAACAGGAAAAATGAGAGCAGTTTCGGAGATGAACAGTTGTCCATTTGTTTGCCCCAGGATAACATGTGCTAATAGCTACAATAGTAGAACTAACATTTTTAAGAGTAAATATAACACATTCAGTTAATGTCGGAGCACAAGAGAAGGCGGCAATATGATTCGTATCATACAGTCTAGGTAGCTTGATCAGCTCCCTAGTAAAGGGATTAAAGAAATAAAACGGGTGACCATCAGGCCACCACCGCCCACAACATACCAATAGCCAACCATCTTTTGTATATAAAACATGACATCCATCCAACTCTGGAAACTCGAGGGAATAGGTTTTTCGCAGCACAGGGTGATAGAAGTCATAACGGTTATCATTTTTTGGGAAATACATAAGCCAGGGTGATTGGTTCACTGGACGTACACAAGTGGCAACTGAATTCCATGTCTTGCAAACAATAGAAGCACGAATGTTATCCGCGACAACCAAACGGGAGAAGATCAACTCTAAGAGTTCAACAGAGAGATCGGCCCAGGTTTCTTGCTCAAAATTTGCACTCTTCACAACAGCAGCAGCTCTTGTATTGTCTCTGAGTTTATCGCTTAACCAAAATAATAATACAAGTATCAGGTACAGATGTGGTGAAATTCAACAAATGAGCTTAATATGCACAAGGATTAATTATCAGTTAAAACTAAGAACAACATTAGTATAAATAATTAAACCAAATGCAGCATATTAGACCATATAACATTTCAATTATCAACGATTTTAATTAAAAAAACTGAAACCTGTATAAACCCTAGCAATTCAATCATAAAAATCACAACCTAAGTTAAGTCTGAAAAACTGTGCATAGGCAAAAGGAACAACAGAAAAACCATAAAAATATTCAAATTAAACTGTAAAGAGGAAAAACGTTGAAATGTAAATTTGAATAATGGGGTTAGGGGTGAAAAGAACTTACGATTTCAACTTCTTTCTCATTTTCCTCCCTTTCATCATGTGAACCCAATTGCTTGATAAAGTAGAGAGAAACACTGATGAACTTCTTGTTACAGAGGAATAGGTTTATGAATCTATAAATATACTATTTTTTTATTTTATTCTTCATATTTTTTAATTTTTTAAATCTATAAATTTTGCTTGGATATAGGTTTTTTTTAGTATAAATATATTATTTTTTATGTTATTCTTCATTTTTTTAATTCTTTAAACCTATAAATTTTGTTTGGATATAAATTTTTTTAGTATAAATATTTTGTTTTGTTATTCTTCATTTTTTTTAATTCTTTAATCCTATAAATTTTGTTTGATCGTAGGTTTTTTTAATATAAATATATTTTTTTTACGTTATTTTTTATTTTTTTAATTCTTTAAATCTATAAATTTTCCTTTGATACAGGTTTTTTTAATATAAATATATATTTTTTAATGTTATTCTTCATTTTTTTTAATTCTTTAAATTTATAAATTTTGCTTGAATATAGGTTTTTAGTATAAATATATTATTTTTTATGTTATTCTTCATTTTTTTTAATTCTGTAAATCTATAAATTTGCTTGGATTTAAGTTTTTTTTAGTATAAATATATTATTATTTTTATGTTATTCTTCATTTTTTTTAATTCTCTAAATTTATAAATTTTGCTTGGATATAGTTTTTTTAGTATAAATATATTATTTTTTATGCTATTTTTTTTAATTCTTTAAACTTATAAATTTTGTTTAGATATAAGTTTTTTTAGTATAAACATAATATTTTTTTATGTTATTCTTCATTTTTTTAATTCTTTAAATCTATAAATTTTGTTTGGAAATAGGTTTTTTTAGTATAAATATATATATTTTTTTATGTTATTCTTTTTTTTTTTTTTGCATTATTTGCGGGCATGTTTATGAGGATGTGTGTATGTTATGCGGGATTGTACAGCTACAATGCAGGTTTGAAGCAGCTTGGAGTCTAGCAATCTTGCGCATCAATTTTTTAGATTGGATTTACAGTAATGGATAGAGTTTAACCTAAAGGAGATGAATGGGGTGGGTAAGGAGTGGAGTTGTTTGTGGACTACTAGATGTAGTTTATTATGGATGTGGCGCAACAAGAAATGCATTGTGATTGTTACCTCAGACTATTTGATCCTGATGCTTATATTGGGCAAAAAGTTTCGGAGTATGCGGAGGCGATCCTTATGAATAAGGTGGTCATGGAGCAACCACGAGTGGTTCAACGGATCTCTTAGTGTCCGCCACAGAGGGGTTCGTTAAAGCTAAATGTAGATGGAGCTTGCAAGAATGGTTCGGGTTCAGGCTGTGGGGGTGTGATTAGGGATGATAAAGGGATGATTGTTATTGGTTTTGTGAAGTATTTGGGTACTTGCAATATGTTTATGGTAGAGTTATGAGGTTTATATGAAGGTCTCAAACTCCTTCATGGTCAGGAAAGTGTGAAAGTGGAGATTAATGTGGATTCCGCAAAGGTTCTTAGGGCTATTGAAAGGAGATGTTCTGACATGATTGAGAGATTATCGCTTCTTAATCATATATGTGGGATTACTGATCAGTTGAATGAAGTGGTTATTTGTCATTCGTATAGAGAGACAAATAAATGTGTTGATGTGCTTGCTACTGTGGAATGTGAGATTCGTAATGATATGATTCTCTATCATGATGCACCTGATTGCATTGAGAGATTGCTTGAGGAGGATGCTAGGGGTGCATTCAACGATAGATTAGTGTGCATGTAGTTTCGTTCTTTTCGGGCTTAAGCTTTCCTTATATAAAAAAATTATTTTATTTGGATATAGGTTTTTTTGTATAAATACACTATTTTTTTATGTTATTCTTTTTTTTTATTCTTTAAACTTATACATTTTTCTTGAATATAGGTTTTTTTAATATAAGTATATTATTTTTATGTTATTCTTCTATTTTTTTATTCTTTAAACTTATAAATTTTATTTGGATATAGGTTTTTTTTTAGTATAAATATATAATTTTTTATGTTATTCTTCATTTCTTTAATTCTTAAAACCTATAAATTTCGCTTGAATATAGGTTTTTTTTAATATAAATATACTATTTTTTATGTTATTCTTCATTTTTTTAATTCTTTAAACCTCTGAATTTTGTTTGGATATAAGTTTTTTTTAGTATAAATATATTATTTTTTATATTATTCTTCATTTTTTTAATTCTTTAAACCTATAAATTTTGTTTGAATATAGGTTTTTTTAGTATAAATATATTATTTTTTATATTATTCTTCATTATTTTTAATTCTGTAAACCTATAAAGTTTGTTTGGATATAGATTTTTTTTTGGTATAAATATACTATTTTTTATGTTATTCTTCAGTTTTTAATTCTTTAGACCTATAAATTTTGCTTGGATATAAGTTTCTTTAATATAAATATACTATTTTTTATGTAACTCTTTTTTTTTTAATTCTTTAAACCTATAAATTTTGCTTGAATATAGGTTTTTTTAGTATAAATAAATTTTAAGTTATAAATTATTTTAAAATAAAATAATATTGAAATATGAAATAATATTGAATATTATTATTTTATTGATTAAAGGTATTCATATTCAATTAAATTTAAGAGTACTAAAGTGTTCATTGTTTTTTTTAAATAATTACCTAAATAAAATACTTTTTAAATTTTGTTTTTTTTTTATAGTTAAATTTTGGCTTAAAGATACGCAGGTTTAAACTAACACATATTTGAATTATGAGTGAGAATATGATAGATCAACTAATAATTCAACTATTTTTTATACTATTTAAATTATGATTTACGGTCTAACTTACACAGTCTTATGTTAAGTCTAATTTTTTTTTAAATATAAAAGATCTAGACTTTTGTATAATCCTATTAATGTTAAGTCACATATCTTAAAAGGTCTTCCAAGCTATCAAGTCAGTCTATTTAAATAAATATTAATAATTTTACTATAAAAATAAGTTGAAAAAACCTTATGAGCAATGTCATAAGTTATTTTCATTAGTTCTTAATCAAATAATATCACAAAACTTATGTTAATGGGTAAACTTAAATAATCCAATGCATAAGAGAGCGATTAGAGATATGAGTAACCTCAATACCAAAAAAATAGTCCAGTTGACCAAGATCCTTGAGAGAAAATGCCATGATGAGTTTAGTGACAAGTTATTGAATGAGTGGTGTAGAGGACCCAATGATGATTATATCATCAACATAGACCAGCACTAATATAGAGCAAGAAGGTGTGAGGAGAAAGAATAATGAGGGATCACGCTTACTAGCTGAGAAACCAAGTTGTAGAAGTGAATCTTTAAGTCTGTCAAACCAAGCACTTGAGGCTTGTTTGAGACCATATAAGCCCTTGTGGAGCTTGCACACCAAACATGGTTCACCTTTCTCAAATATTGGTGGATGAACCATGTAAACCCCCTCATTAAGTAGTCCATTTAAAAGGGCATTATTCACATCTAGCTGTTGAATGGCCCATTTATGGGATATAGCTAAGGTTAAAAGTGTTCTCACAATGACTAGTTTTACAATAGGTGAGAAACTCTCTGTGTAATCAAACCCGTCAACTTGATGGAACCCTTTAGCCACCAACCTGGATTTGTATTTATTGATATAACTATCAAGGTTCTCCTTCACCCTAAAAATCTATTTTCACCCAATAGGTTTTATGTGATAGGTTCCAGGGACAAAGGACCAAGTCTTGTTACTCAATTTGGCATCATGTTTTGATTGCACTACAACATACCATTCAAGTAGCGAGAGCCTGCTTGTGAGATGATGGTTCGAGGTGAATGAGAAGGACAGTAGGTTGTAAACGAGGTTGGACAATACCATTTTTGGCTAGTGGTTATAGAATGAGTGTTGAGAGGGTGAATAGGTGGAGATGGTAAGGACGTGTTTGTGGAGGATGATGGAGAATTTGTGTCCTCAGAAATCAACGAATAGGACTCATACGCAGAGGTGGTTGGCACAAAGGGTGGACTTAAGGGAATACTAGAAGTAGAGTCAAATGTAAGAGGAGGAGAGTTTGATATCATGTTTGTGTTTGGCTCAAGGCGATCAGGTGGTGAATGACTAGGTTGAGAGTGGACAACCTAACTTGAGGTAGGACTTAATCTGGTTGAAATAGACTGATTGGAGGATAAACTGATTGGTGATGAGTAGAAAAGTAAATAATTCTATGGATAATACAATGTGAGGTCAGAAAGTGAGTGAGAGGTTTGAACTCACTACCCCCATCAGTTTGAACTAATTTGATTTTAAGGGTAAATTGTAAATCAACTAAGGCTTTGAACTAAACAAATATAGTGAGGGTGTGAGATTTTAGTTTTAATGGGTAAATCCATATGTATTTACTATAAGCATCTACACATTTAGGAAATAAGTATACCATAAGTAGATGGAACCGGGGAAGGTCCCCATATAGATCACAGAAAATTAATTCAAGAGGTTTAGTATAAACAGATGTAGAAGGAAATCTATGAATTTTTCCCATACAATAATCATTACATAACTCATCAAACTATTTATTAGGAATTGAGACATTACACAATTTGAGAACCTATTTTAAGGTCTCATGACTAGGATGGCCAAGTTTGTGATGCCATAGTTGATACACACTAGAAACTGAACCTCAAGTTCTATTATTACAAGAGGTATTGAAAATATAACTATGACTTAAATTTGTAGGCAGAGACTTGAGGTTTGATAAGGTGTTTACAATGCTGAAGGCTTGAGGAGATGATGGTGGTGGAGTGCAATCAAACTTGTATAAACCATCATGGCCACGAGAGCCTCTCAATAACATCTTAAATGTGTCCTGACATCTTACAAAACAAGAATTAGCATGGAATTAAAAAAATACACAATTATCTTTTGCAAATTGGCTTACACTTATGAGATTTTTAGTTGTAGAGGGAACTAGAAGAAGTTTATTAAGTTTTAGAGAGGTATTAGGACACAAATTAGAGGGAAAAACAATAGAGCC